GCCTCCCGGGCCCCGCGGCCCCCCGCAGACCCCCAGTCTTGGACCCCTGCAGACCCCCTATCCCAGCCCACCCCAGGCCCCCCATCCTGAACCCCTCTGGACCCCAAATCCCAGCCCCCATCAGATGCTCCCCCTCTCGCTGCCGCCCCCCAGCCCACCACAACCCCCGCCAGCGCCAGGAGCTGCTCGAACAAGACCCCCACGCCCCTCTCGGCCTCGGGCCCTGGGTTCTCCAGGCAGACCAGGCTGAAGAGGTGGCAGCGGGCCCGCACGGTGCCCGGGTCCTGGAAGATGGAGGGCACAAGGCTGGCGGCCAGGCGGGGGGTGAGCAGCACAGGGACACCCTCAGAGCCCAGGGGCCGGTTCTCGGGGAAGCAGAGCAGGCAGTCAAGGTAGAAGAGGCGCAGGGGCGAGGGCAGGGCCGGGTGCCCGGCCAACGCCACCAGGCGCCGCAGGAGAAAGGCCTCATCCTCGGCCGTGAAGAGGCTGGCGGTGAAAAGGGCTTTGAGCCGCAGGCTGGCGTGCAGCAGCGCCGCGTGCGCCGTGCCGAAGAGCCGCACCAGCGGGGCCTTGAAGACGGCTGGGGACTGGGTGCGGATCACGCCCACCGCCTGCGCCAGCTGCCACAGCACGTGGGCCTGCGCCACCGGCGAGAGCAGGGCCGAAGCCTCCAGCAGCGGGGACAGCACCGACCGCAGCTCCTGTGGGGGGGAGACAGGGGGAGAGCGGGCAGGAGGGGCTGGGCCAGACTGAGCAGATACTGGGGCCAGACTGGACTGATACTGGGCTATACTGGTGCCAGACTGGGAACATACTGGGCAGAGATTGATGCCAGATTAGTGCCAAACGGGGCAGATGCTGAGTTGTACTAGTGCCAGACTGGGCACATGCTGGGCAGATACTGGAGCCAGATGGGGCAGATACTGCACTGGACTGGTGCCGGAGTGGGCCAATACCGGAAACAGCCTGGGCCAATCCGACACTGATACTGGGCCTATGCTGGCGCCAGACTCAGCACAGACTGGGCTATACTGGTCACAGCCTGGGTAGATCCCAGTGCCAGCCTGGGTCGTACTGAGCCATACTGGAGCCAAGCCAAGCCACACTGGGCACAGACTGGCTTCCACTAGGTCACCCCCTGCTCCCATCGCCCTCCGGCGTCCCCTCACCTTGGTCTCCCCCGGTGCTGCCAGCAGCTCCAGCCGGTCAGCCAACCCGGGGCTCACGGCGCTGGCC